CAAGCTAGCCGGGTCACCGCCGGTCATTAAGCGCACGAAACAACGTACGCCTACAATCAAAAAAAAGGCGCAGCCACGCGACACAGCGTAAAGCAGCCGCTACTCCAGTTCCGACTTCAGCGGGGCGACCGCGAGAAAAGAAGACGCTAACCATCACACGCACTGCTACGGGCTTACAAACGCCCGCCTTCCGCAACCGCGCTGCCAAAGGCGCAATCGGCAACGCGATCCGGGCCCTACAAATGCTCCAGAATGCGTTGGGCAACGCATCCCTGCAGAGCAAGGAGTATGTTTAAGCGTCTACTTAAACAGCGACATATATAAATAAATGTAACTGCCGTTCGCGTAGAGTTACCCGTCTTTTCCTACTATTTCCGTGTGCCCCATCACGCGCCATTTCCTCTATTCTTTTTGGCCAAATTTCGTTAGCCGATCGACCGCTTAGCGGCGGCCAACCACCACTCTAAAGCTAACAGCCCTCGCTCGCGCACGGCAGCCTTAAACCGCGGACACTGCTCTTCTAGTAAATTTATTATACTAATTTCTGAGTTGATATTAATATCTTAGTTTGTAATTAAAGTTGTGAAAATATATTAGTTGATTTTTTTATTAAAATTTGTGAACATTTTTGTGAATTGAAAAAAGTGCTTTTTATTTCAACCTTGGGCCCGCTCGACAGCCGGCAATTATATTTTCACATAGATATGTGGTCCTTATCGCTAGATTATGGCGGCAAATGCCAAGTACCCAAGCACGGCACAATTATTTTATTTAGAGCTTCTCTAAAGAGCGAAGAGTCATGCATGATATTGCAAGCCATAACATGTTTTTGATAAACTTTGTAATACATTGCAATTAATTTAATAAATATAATTTGTATAAAAAAATTTATTTGTTTTTGTCATTCCTCTTTGTGCTTTTCGTACATTTTGACCTTTCGTTAAGCTGTGGTGCCGCCTTACCTACATTTTAATAAAATGGAAATGTGCGATGTCGATTATCGTAACAACTAAGTTAGAGAATCGCATAATCGTTAGCGCAAGCGACCAAATTCGCAACTTTGCGATCCGACAAATCGTGTCGATAAAAGTTACAGGATTGCACTGCAGATGTGGGTCCGGCAAAGTTTGTTTTTTCGATTTATTGAAACGAACATAAGCGAAAATTCATATTGCTTACTAATTAACATACATTTACGAAAACGACAAATCATATTAACAAAAACTGTTCAAAAATCTAATATTTAGGTATTTTCATATCTTGGCATGAACAAATATCATATTCATACATATTTACATACAGATACAAAAACGAAAACGCACTGCCCTCTTTGGATTATAACCCACATTTTACATACAATATTTGCCGGCAGCCAAAATACTTCAAATAAATTAGCTTTCTGACTATAAATATACATACATACGCTTATACATATATGTATATATTGTTGCGAAAATGCGAGGCGAATGTCCGATAAAAGAGAGAAGCCGATAACTAGTACATTCTAGAACGATAAAACGAGTTTTGGATTATAACCCACATTTTACATACAATATTTGCCGGCAGCCAAAATACTTCAAATAAATTAGCTTTCTGACTATAAATATACATACATACGCTTATACATATATGTATATATTGTTGCGAAAATGCGAGGCGAATGTCCGATGAAAGGGAGAAGCCGATAACTAGTTCATTCTAGAAAGATAAAACGAGAGCCTTCGATAGCGAACAACTCGATTATTCTACACTTTCGTCTACGAGCAGCCGACTGCTATATAAAGGCGACACTCAGCTGCCAATTCAAGCTAGTTACTAAGTGAACTCGTTGGCTTTAACATCAGTAAAGTCGTAAAGTAAACGCGTTGGGGATAACATTTAAGTAGAGTAAATTGTGAAAGTTTATGCAAGAGATTGTAGCTAGTAAAGTGCAGTTTAATTGAATTGTGAACTACTGAGTAAATAAAGGACATTAGATAAATTCTTTGTAACGAAAGAAACTGCAAATTAAGTTGGCGAGTTTTATTTAACAATCCAGAGATCGTACCCGAAGGATTCAGAAAATCATCGAGGTTGATTTAGC